GAATAGATTTTTACCTTGAAACAATGGCAGCATTTGTTCTCTATTCTTTCAAGCAGGGGCGAGTTACCTCAGCAGCAGCTCTCAAAAGAAAATCAAGAAGCCATAATTTGCTAAACTCAAAGAGCACTAAAACACAAACCAAAAAGCCATTGCAAAACACTCCCCCTCAAAGTGCTCTTTCAACGTGCAACCTCTGCAGAAGCAGAGTAGTCAAAACAAGAGAGTGAGTAGGAATCACGTAATAGTCTGGATCTTTTCAACCTCGCTTCTTCAAAATGAGGAGAGGTTTTTAGAAGTAAACTTCAGAAGGGAACAACTCGTAGTTCATTTCCATCCTCTGCAGCAAATACTGGTTTGGCTGATCTTAGGCGTGGAGTCAGGCTTTTACTCGGAATCCCTTTCTAAGTCAGATTCACTTGCATTTAAGGGAAGATCACATAAAAATTTGCATTTTTTAAGGCACTTGAGTTAGGACTAGGAAGACAAAAGCAGTATTATATTCAACTACTGCACAAGGGGAGGGGAGCAAATCTTCTACAAGTAAAAGCTGCAATGGAAGAGGGGAAAAAAAAAAGCCCAAATTTCACCAAAACACAGAGATAAAACCTAACTGAAGGGCTCACTCTCACTTTAAGGATCTACTTTACATTCTTTACCCCTTGGAAAGACAGCTAGAGGACCTTCTGCTCACCCAGCACCAAACAAAAGACTGGGGCACCTTCCTGAAATATGATGATCGTGGAAATTGCAGCTCCTAGACAGGGTGCTTAGAAAGCATTTTGCTGTCACTATCAACTAACCCTGAGTAATACCCTTAAAGAAAACAAAGTGTGGGCATTGTTTTAAAGGGTAGATTAGCACTGTGGAACTTCTTTTTGTTTGTTTTAAATAAAACAAACCAACTTGGTGAAGCTATTTAAGAGGCAGCATGACCTTTGTAAGCTAAAATGGATGTATATGCAGTAGATTTCACAAGTATTTTTCAAAATGAGCACATTTTGTGCTTCAGATAGATTTCAGAATCTAAACAAATACAGAGATAATTCCGGAATGTAACTAGACTGATGAAGCAGAATTGTTGGGCTTATCATGTACATATATTAACTTTAAATGATACTCTTTGTCGTTTATAATATGAAAATCCCGAGTTGTTTCCCTTCCCCCTGTTACTTTGATGGTTAGAAAGAAGCCCCTGAACTACCGGAGTTCCTGCTGGAGAACACAGAGGTAGATTAGAAATTCAAATAAGCATTGTGTGACCTCCAGTCAGGAGGTCTTGATTTTATTCACATTTTATCACAGCTTGGAGCGAAAAGAGCTCTTTGGCACCATTTTTGAGGAGAAAAACCCCACCTTTTCAAATATACCAAAACTATTTCTTTTTCTTTTCTTTCTTCTCCTTGCTGCCTACAGGGACAGGGAGTGCAGCTGGACTCATACCTTAGAGTAAATATTCTTTGATACATTTTTCTTGTGTAGTGCAAATTACTTTTACCATTTTAAAATAAGATGTCCCCCTGCTTAGCTGTACTCCAGCGATAAGTACACATGCGAGGCTCGGGCATTACCACCGTCTGTAGTAATGCACTCGCTTTACAGTGTCTCAGAATAAGTAATTTAAGCATGCAGTTCAGTGAAGTTCATGAAAACATTCAGCTCGGAATAAAGATAAGCAGAAAAGCTGCTGCTGGGTTGTTCTGACGTTACTTTTGTTACCAAAGAGAAGTCATTTTTGGCATTGTAAAAATGAATTTTAGCACATACTTTGTAAAAATCTGCTCTCTTCGAAAGTAATGGCTTCTTTCAAACCCATGTGGCCATGAAGCCTCCCATTTTGATGTTGCAGAAACCTGGACACAGTGTCTTTGCCAGCGGGGGTCACTTTTCTTTTCATCCTGCCAGATCAGCTATAATGACTTGATGTCAGGGAATATTTAGAGACAGCTCAAGAAGGGGAAAGTTGGAGCATGGCAGCAGGATTCCCTTCTTCTCCGTAGACAGATCGCTGGAGCCTTTGATATGCAAAAACATTGTTTTCAGCTATGGCTCGAGATATAAAAGGGAAGTGCGAGATATCAAACAATCAAGACCTGAAGAAAACTATTCTAAGTTCAGAGAAGGGAGTGGGGGGTAGAGTCTTAATCCACATTTTTGAAACAGTGTCTCTTCTCCAAAGAGACCTGCTTTTATTTTTTTCTCACTCTTGTTTTCATGTAATTTTGAGAGAAGGGCTAAAAAAATTCCAAGAATTTAATGAGCTTTAGTGCTTTCATTTTAATCCTACACATTACTGCTGTTATAATAGCAGCAATAAATGAAAGGATGACTATCAAATGGAGCAAAGAGGAAACAGTTTATATGCTAGGAAAGTAAAACAAATGAACTTAACTTTCTCGTGTATGTATATCTAATATATGCATATTAGAGCTTCTGTTTTGTTTAATACTAACTGGTTTTTTACAGCTCTGGGGGAAATGTGGGGGGTTTCCTTAAGTAATTACAAGTTATTGTAACCTTCAAAGGCCTGTTTAAGAAATGTATATTCCTACTTCACAGTATACTGCCAGAAAATACCCTCTGTCACAACTTCCCATTAGTTCCTATGAGATTCCTTTTTTTTCTACAGCTATTGGGCAACCCTTTATTTCAGTTTCAGGAACAGAGCCTGGACTTCTGTCCCCAAACACATCAGTAATACAGCCCAAGAGAACTGGACACTGGGAGACTATGGAGCCTTTTTTGTTCTATTTTATAACGATTGCATAATTTACCCACATTACATAAGTTACCAAAAAACTGTGCATTCTCTTATATTCTAAAATGTGGCCACTCAGATTGAGTTTGGGCCTTAAATAAAGCATATGATAAAATATTTATTTATGCCACAGTTGGGGCGTGTCTCAATTTGAGTTACTATTTTCATTATACTGCTGAAAACAAGGTGCAGAAACAAAGCTCAGATGAGCATGAAAGCAGCATCAAGAGAGAAAAGGCTTTACCATTCCCTCACTAGAGAGTCTCAGCCTCTAAAATGGGGACTTGGGGGGGTTTTTGGATGTTTGTTGGGCATTTTTTTAAGATCAACATTCTCCTAAGAAAAAAAAAAAAAAGCAGCATAATTTGTATCTGTGTCGATAATTTTGTGTCATTGCTTCTTTCTTGTTGCTGTAGGAGTATTACAGATTATTTCTTGGTGGATCTGCTTCAAATTGCAAGACAAGAATTTTAAAAGAGAGAATGTTTCTGTTTGGGCATGATATTTTCTGAAGGACCAGAAGCTACTCTAGTTAAGCTGGTAGGAAGGCAGCTAAACAAGCATTACTCAGCATGCTGTTTCTTCCTAGCATTGCAGTCCCGAGGCTTGTGCTTAGTTCTCTGGACAACATGCAGTCATGAAAGGGAGAAGTAAGTAAATGTTAAGGGTTTCTTTAATTTCAGATTTCACCACTTCTATTTCAGACATACTACCTACATGCTTTCAGGGGACAGAAACTTGATAGCTCACTGGGTACTTGCTGTAATAGTGATACAAAGTAGCCCAGGTTAAAAATACCATTCAAAAAATAACCAAGTAATTAAGAGTTCTTCAAGAAATACGAAAAGACAAGATTGGAAACAGTGTTTTTTCCTGAAATGAGGAAAATCAGATAAAATGCTAATCTGAACACCAGTTCTGCTGTGCAGCGTGACAAATACAACAGGCTTAAAAGTTCAGGCTGCAGATCCAGCCTATTTAATGGACAAAACCCACGTATGTATCTCTGTTGTCAAAGAGTTGACACAGATGCCTGGCTAGCCCCCAGTTCAGATTCAGCATGTTGCAGATGTCAAATATTAATACAGGATTTGAGCAAAACATTTCCCCTTTCATCCAGTAACTACTGAATGGTAATTGGGTTCCTTTACATTTAAAACCAAGGAGAGGATCATCATCTATCTCAGTTTACCAAGAACACAAAGCAAGCAAACATTTTGGCTTCCTCCAAGGAGTTAGGACTGGTATTTGTAATCAGGTGGGAAACATCACTTACAGATACTTTGTACTGCCTGTCAATTCAGGATGACTTTATTTTGTGCTGAAAGAAAGGAAGATGCAGTTCCAGCAAAAGCACAGTAACATGAGACTAAACAGCACAAATGTTTTCCTAAAGAGCTCTGTATTTTGCTGAAATACAAATATTTTGGGAAAACAAGATGTATGCAAGTCATGGATGCAATAAGCACAGCATGATTTACGTAGGGGCTGCAGCACAACTCATATTAGTGTCCACCATTTGTTATTAATCCCAATTTTTTTGTTTCTACTTTTGCAGGAAATTAAGAGTTCAAGGAAAGCTTTAAAAGGGGAGTTTTCTTTGAAGGACATCATATTTTTGTGGGTTTTTTTAATGACGAAAACCATCTGAATTGCCTGACATTTCTACAGTACAGTCACTTGCGTTCTCGCAGCGCAGGAGGAATTCTTTCCTGCATTACAAATTGGGAAGAAGTGGTAAAAAGTGAGTCGGAAAATGGTTCTCTGAGAGGCGTGGATGTACCGGGATGTAGCCACTGTACAACGTTTATACTTGGATAATTCTGGACAGGAAAAAGCAGCCCCGTTCCTGACCTCCTGAAGAAGCTACCATCCTTCAAGCCTCAGCATAATGAATAGTTTCCATCATGCGGCGCTGAAGTTACCACCTCCGACTACTACGCTGCACAGAAGAGTTTGTAAGAGTTACAAAGAAAGTAATTCTTGCTAAAGGCATTAAACCAAACAAAAGAGGCTCTTCATTCACGGACTTTACAGGAGGACAGAAATAGAGGGAAGCTGAAGCTTTTCTACACCCCAGCCTGGTGTGCTTATGTACCATGATAAATCTTGGTTGGAATGCTCACTGAGTGTCGTGCCAGGAGCCAGGAAACACACACCACTGAGGAGGGCCATCTGAGTAAACACCATTGAGGAAAAACACAGCTCCATGGAGTAAAGCGTAAGAGTGACTCGTGAGAAAGACATTCCTTTACTGGATATCCTCAAGCACAAAATTTACTCTTACCTTTAAATACGGTAGGATCAATATTAATTTATTTTCCTTTGTGTGCCTCAGAGAATAAAGTTCAATTAATATATGAACCCACAAGAGAAAAGGTCATGACACCGCTTAATGCATAGGTCATCTTGCAGAAGTTCTCACAACCCTAATTACAATGGTAATTGAATTATGTTGTCTTAAAAGCTATAAAAATGCTAATGACCTGAGCTCAATGTACAAACACACTACCGATGCAAAGTACAATTTCAGTCTCAAGAGTTAATTTATGTTATCCTACCATGCACAGTTTGAACTAATAAGATGGGAAAATGTGGTCAAACCTTCCAAATAGTCTCTTATTAGTGTACTACTTAGTAAAAAGACTTCTGAGAATGACTAATATTTAAACATGAAATTAAGCATGTAATGAAGTATTCTGTCCAGTCAACTAGAAAGCCATACCTCTACCAGCTACATCAGGTTGTTAGTTACCTACCAGTTGTAACGTTCAACTTTCTAAAAGTTCCAGCTCAAAAACCAACTAAAGTAGGCTGCAGGATCCACGAGATGCTCAACGTGACATTGAGCACTTGGAAAACCTTGGAAAAAAGTCTTTAGGTGGTGGCCCTTACTCTTTTGCACATTATGCTTTGCCAGTAGAACTTTTCTGGACCTCCAAAACAGCTACCACTAAACTTGCGAGTTCAGTAAGAGGTTTATAGTTCACTATAAAGGGTTCCTGGGCTAGTTAGCTGGCTAAGGAATTACTGCTTATCTTTCAGATGTAGAATGATTTACTTGAACTCTGGCATGACTTCAGCTCTGTACTTACCTGGTATTTGTGAACAAAGATTGTCTCTGCACATGAAATGTGAAGGAATTCTTAGAAAGAGCGTTGATGCTTAAGCAAAACAATTCACAGATCAGACATACCTGATTATGTTCCTTTCAATTGCTATGCAGACTAACCTATTAACTTAATTGAATTAGTACAAGTAGTAGTACAATTATTGCTGTAAGGAAAGTAAAATGTGTCTAAGAGCTTGAATTCTGGTTTAATATGTGTATTTCAGATGTCTTCTGTAATGTTGAAGTTGAATTTTCACTGTAGTTTCTTCGCTGATGATCTGGATAATTTTGTTTGTTTGGTTTTTTTAGATTGTTGAAGATCAGAACTGTATACAAATCTCATCATTCCTGACCATGATTAGTGTAACCTGGAGCATCTTCCTAGTTTGGACTAAAATAGGGCTGTTACTTGACATGGCACCTTGTTCTGTTAGTGCCAAACCATGCCCTTCAGTGTGTCGCTGTGATATGGGTTTCATATATTGTAATGATCGCGATTTGACGTCTATTCCTACAGGAATCCCAGAGGATGCTACTACCCTCTTCCTTCAGAACAATCAAATAAATAATGCTGGGATTCCTTCAGAACTGAAGAACTTGCTTAGGGTGGAAAGAATATATTTATACCACAACAGCCTAGATGAATTCCCCACTAACCTCCCTAAGTACGTTAAGGAACTGCATTTGCAGGAGAACAATATAAGGACCATTACGTATGATTCACTTTCACAAATTCCGTATCTGGAAGAACTGCATTTGGATGATAACTCTGTTTCCGCTGTTAGCATTGAGGATGGAGCTTTCCGGGACAACATCTATCTCAGACTTCTTTTTCTCTCTCGAAATCACCTTAGCACCATTCCCTGGGGTTTGCCTAAAACCATAGAAGAGCTACGCTTGGATGATAATCGTATTTCCACGATTTCAGAGCCGTCCCTTCAAGACCTTACAAATCTAAAACGCCTTGTTTTAGACGGAAATCTTCTAAATAACCATGGATTAGGAGACAAAGTCTTCATGAATCTAGTCAACCTTACAGAACTGTCACTGGTCCGCAATTCGCTCACAGCCGCACCGGTGAATTTGCCAGGAACAAACCTAAGAAAGCTTTACCTTCAAGAAAACCACATCAACCGTGTGCCACCCAATGCTTTCTCCTACTTAAGGCAGTTGTATCGACTAGATATGTCCAACAACAATCTTAGCAACTTACCTCAGGGTGTCTTCGATGATCTGGACAACATAACTCAGCTTTTCCTTCGCAACAACCCTTGGAACTGTGGGTGCAAAATGAAATGGGTGCGCGACTGGTTACAGTCATTGCCTTTAAAAGTTAATGTGCGTGGACTGATGTGTCAGGCACCAGAGAAAGTCCGTGGAATGGCTATCAAAGACCTCAGCGTGGAGCTATTTGATTGTAAGGACGATGGCATGATGAGCACCATCCAAATCACTACCGCGGTACCAAACACCTTATACCCGGCCCAGGGCCACTGGCCGGTTTCTGTGACCAAACAACCAGACATCAAGACTCCCAACCTAAACAAAAACTACAGAACCACAGCAAATCCAGTGCGCAAAATCATTACAATCTTTGTGAAATCCGTAAGCACGGAGACTATTCACATCTCCTGGAAAGTTGCACTGCCAATGACTGCTTTAAGACTGAGCTGGCTCAAGATGGGTCACAGCCCTGCCTTTGGATCTATAACTGAAACAATCGTTACAGGCGACAGAAACGACTATTTGCTCACAGCTCTCGAACCGGAATCGCCGTACCGCGTATGCATGGTTCCCATGGAAACCAGCAACATCTATCTCTCCGACGAAACACCCGAATGCATCGAGACCGAGACGGCCCCTCTGAAGATGTACAACCCCACCACGACCCTCAACCGGGAGCAGGAGAAAGAACCTTACAAAAACTCCAGCTTGCCCTTGGCCGCTATCATCGGCGGGGCAGTGGCGCTGGTGGCCATCGCGCTGCTGGCCCTGGTCTGCTGGTACGTCCACAGAAACGGGTCCCTCTTCTCCCGGAACTGCGCCTACAGCAAGGGACGCCGGAGAAAGGATGACTATGCTGAAGCGGGAACCAAGAAGGATAACTCCATCCTAGAAATCAGGGAGACTTCTTTCCAGATGATACCAATAACCAATGACCAAGTGTCCAAGGAGGAGTTTGTAATACACACCATTTTCCCACCTAACGGCATGAATCTGTACAAGAACAGCCACAGTGAAAGCAGTAGTAACAGGAGCTACAGAGACAGTGGTATTCCAGATTCAGATCATTCACACTCATGATACTGAAGGACATGAAAGACTGGTTTGGGTTTGGTTGGTTTTTTTTGGTTTTGTTTTTTAAAGAAAACAAGAAAAGACTGGCTTAACAGTTGCTGTTCTACTGCAAAACACTGGATTAAAAGACTGACAAAGCAATGTACTGTACATTTGCCATATAATTTATATTTAAGAACTTTTTATTAAAAGTTTCAAATTTCAGGCTACTGCTGCGATTAATGTAGTGGGGATACCTGACCACAATTCTATATTTTAGTATTTTTTAGTAATTTGTACTGTATTTTCCTTGCTAATATTGAAGTTACAGACCATTTAACTTTTGTGTTCTACTGAGTAAGATGACTTGTTGACTGTGAAAGTGAATTTTCTTGCCGTGTTGAGCAGTCAGAACATTCATCTGAGATCCTTGTAAGTGTAAGCACAGGCCATTTTTCACTTTGGTATCAATAAAACAATGTTGAACCTGGCAAATCAGAAACATCAAGAAGTGGTTGCAAAAACTCACAGAACTTTCAATGTTGGGTCTATTAAATCTGTAAACCACTACAATATTCAATAAACAAAAATGCGTGTAGTAATGGGCAATATCAGCTGTCTGGATATATCCATTCAACAATGGTGACATCCAATTTAAAAGAAAATAAGCAAATCAATGACATCCATGAGACTGAAGCTTTTGACATGTGTCAAAAAAAAAGAATTGATCCCTGGAAGAAAGCCTAATCAAATTCCTAACAAGGAATTCAAAAATATGTACTAGGTTCTACAAGCCAAGGGGGTAGATAGGGCTTAGGGATAGATTTCTGGTTATCAAAGCCAGTGGGCTGCTTATTACAGAGGTAACAGCGATGGATGGTCACAAGCATCTGGGAGTCAAGGGCAGGAGGACAGAGACAACACTTGGAAACTGCTTTGGACAGAGAAAGGGCTGAAAGTGCAGTTTTGTAAGGAAAGAGGGGGACAAAAAGGATAGGCAATATAACAAGGTCTCAAAAACTTTAGTCATGAAGGTAAGCAGACAATTGGGGAATACAGGGATTTTTAACAAGCAGTATACAGGTATGTGTTCAGTACACTGCCATTACAGTCAGGAATACTGCCCATTACTGTCACAGTTTTCCAGAAATTCCTGGATAAATCTATAAGGGTAACATGTTTCTTTCTGCCTTCCTACTGAACTATGAGCTATTTCATGTTTAAACCCCAAGCCACTCTCTGTTGCCGTAATCATTTGTTTCTTCAACTAAAAACCAAAGTGCTTTGTACGCCCTTTGGCCAGTCTTGTGTGTGCCTTGATCCAACGCTACATGTATCAAGCTTTTAAAAACTTTAAAAAAAGGATAAAAAAAATAAAATACCCACTTTTTCATATGTAACTTCACTATGAAAAATATTGGTCTTATTGATGAATAAAGTTGGAAAATCAGGTTGAAATAATGCTGCACCTCTGCAGTGCACTGGTAGGAAACCTGCTCAGAACCTACTACTCTTCAGGTCATGGGCTTCACCTTTTTCTTTGTTCAGCTTGACAGTATTGCATTTGCAGGGTTTCTTTATTATTGGTTACTTGGGAAACAGGTTTTCACAGCTTTCAAGTGCATGAACAATGGCAAGGAGGGAATGACAGGGAATGGCATGGAGTTACGACCCTCTGAGATATGAATTTTTCCCAATGAAAACAGCAAATAGAAAAATATTTGGACAATATCTCAAATGGGAAGGAATGTTTACCAAATGCAGTTCAATTTTGAGAATATTAGCAGTGCTTGGCCTGTTTGTTCCCTTAGAAGTGGGTAAAGGAAGATGACAAGAAAAATCAGTGACAAACATTGAGAGCGATGGTTTCTGCAGCCTGCAAACAGTTCTCCTGCCAGGGACCCATCCTGCTGCACAGACCCAACACTTCCAGTAACACGCAGCTCTTTTCATCCTCATTTTCCAGATGTGCCCAGGGAAGTTACTGTCCAAACTCCCTGTGCTGTGGAACTGCTTCCTCAACCTCACCTTCAAGAATGCCTCCTGTGGTTCTAGAGCAATGAAGGAACAGCACCGTGCTTCCCTACTGGCCTTACACAAATCATGTCTTCTCCTTCACATGGAGCACTGAGTGGATCCACGATGCCAAAAGTAACAGGCATGTTATGCTGAACAGTAATGAACTCAGCCCAGTGTAATGCACTAAGTGAGACTAATTTGCTCTGTTTTCCCAGCAGGTACAAATGTAGGGAAGAGGGAGAAAGATAAGACTAAGCACATGGAGCCTCGTTATGTTCCTGTGCAAAAGGCTTCCCAAGTAGTAAGTGGGAAAAGGAAACCAACATGGGCTGGAGAAGACAGAGCTGTTCTTCATCTAAACTAGCATACAGGGACCCCTATAGCAGAGATAAATTTAACAGCTGAGTCACTGGCAATAGATTACTAGTTCTTTGCCATCAGCTCTCAAAATTAAATGGGTTTTGCTGTGTTTTCAAGCAATTTACATGAAAACCTCTCTCCTGGTTGACTCCAAATTTGTGTTGTGAAAAGGGTAAGGTAATGCTCAGTAATTACTCTCTGCCATGCCTCTGCTGAGGCAGCTCTGCCAAAGGTGGCCTGGTAATGCTACTTAGTATCTACCACACATCTTGGTGATGCCTTGCAAAGGCCTTATGGTCTATAAGAAAACTGCCATTTAAGGAGGACATAATTACATGTGAATCTTAAGCATGAGAAATTTATGTACTGTGAGGCAGCAGTGTACAAATCCAGAACAGCTTCAACAAGTCAGCCCAGCTGTTCCTGCTTTACCTCCACCAGAGAGTGGAAACCTGGACAAGTGATTCTGTCCTCTGCAAAGAACCAGGCCAGGTCTGCAGGGAGAGCTGGTGTCCTGCTACCACCAGTGCTGTCAGTGGGAAAGATGGCCCATCCATGCATACAAGATCTTCCTTAGGTTCTACAGCAACCTTTATGCAACACGCACAATATTAGGATTAATTTGGCAAGTGGAAGATTGATTTCAAACTAAACTGTAATGTTTTTCCCTGGATATTTATACAAATTCCTGTTCTGCTCCATGTCATGCCCATCTCTTCAAGGCTCTTCTACTTATGATAGTGCTGCAGTTCTAGCACGCTACACTCTAGCACCATGCATAAATCCCTTCTATTAGACAGTCATAGATGCAGGCAAATCAGATTGCTACATCGAGCAGTTTACTCCACACATTTATCAAAATAACATTAATCCACATTAAATTTATCTCAAATAATTTTCTAATTCCCTGTTATTTCAAGGTACTGTTCATTATTTAATTGTGGAGCAAGGAGCGACTTTCTTTTCAGCGTTGCATTAATTTATGTGCAGAGTTAATTTAATCAGCACCCTCTATATTAAAATACTTTGCCAAGTATCTTCTACGCTCTTTATCATCATCCCTCTTTATTTTTAAATTCATATTGCTCTCCTGAATTGCTCACTGTTCTATTTGAACCTGAAAGCTGCTTCCAAAAAAACCCTGGTACTTTGGAAACCATATTAAGTTTGTCTCATCTCGGTACCTTCCAGAACTAAATCTGCTTCATTTATAAGCCATTATTTCAGCAGCTTTGTACAACAGCCTGAAATACAAAAACTGCTGGGGATTTTTATTTTTTCCTCTTGGCTTTACAAGTACCAAATTCAAAGTATTATGGTCTTGGAACACAGTTACCATTTCTTCTGCTAATGCACTAGCTAGCATGCAAGCTATATTGTGCCAATGCTGTACATATTGAATGTAGAGCAGCAAATGCAATAAAGCAAGAGCAAAAGTAATAAAGCCTTATTTGCTATTAAAATAATTTACTGATGACATAACGCACTAAAGCACATATAGAGACTTCTCTGCTCTGTAAGAGGATGCAATTTTGCATATTCACCTCCAGCTAAAGCTGGATAAGATCTTCAAACGTGAGCTGGCTGATGCCATCTGCCTGGATTTATCCAAACCACATTTCTTTGGGATGGTTTTGGATGGAACCATAGTTTGCACAGATACCCTTTGCTGTCAAAACACCTTAACCTTGCTTCCAAATCCATACCTTGTTCGAGCATCACCTTGGTACTGATCTTTTAACTGTTTCTTCACCTATACCAGAACAAAACCAAAAGCTTCGAGCCACAAGCCAGCTCTTGCCACCAGTGAAGCTCGGCTTACAAAGCATAAAGTTACTCCTTAACTTCTTCCAAACTAGCCCAGAGTGGTTCAGCCAGAAAGGAAAAGCCCACTGAGTGAATTCAGACATGACATCTTTACACTTTCTTCTTTTTCTTTGCAAATGAATTCAATTTTGTGGGTGGCAGAGTGGGAGTTCCACCCTTGTGATGAAATTAGAGCCCTTTCAAACACTCTGAAGGTACAACTATGACACAGGTATTGGATTCAGGACATAGTTGCTTTAGAAGTTTATTCTTTTGATAAACATGTGTGTTTGATTTAATTTTAATAGTTATTTTATCAAATCATTTCCTGTTCCTCTAAAAAAACCTAAATAAAAACCACAGAACGTAGATCTCACTAAAATGATGACAGAGCATCTAGCTCAAAACAAGATACTCATTTTATGGTCGTCTTTGAATGATGGCTGAGGAACATTCCTGCCCTAGGGGGAAACCAAAAGACTTCAGCAAAATGGGTGTTAGAAGAAATAACCATCCTCTGGATTACTGGTGGCCTAAGGCAAAGGTTAACGACACATGTTTTGGAAGCTGAGCAAACGTCCATCATGCCCGGTCACCGTCAATGTCCTACACTGGAAACGTGCAGGCCAGGAGCTCAGAAGTGTATGACCCAACTTCAGCTGCTGTTCAAAGCCCCTTTGGGTTTTCTTAGGATGAAAACATAGTGGAGTCACCGTATAAAACCCCTCAAGATTAACAACTTGACCTGAAAACACTTTCTGAAATCTGAAGCTGGACCTTCTAAGCTTAGCAAGAAAACGCATAAATAACTTATAAAAATAGAAGTGTCTTAATAGGCTAATTAAATAATCTGACTTGTTCAAGCTGGGTGATAGTATTCATACAGGCTGATGCCCTGTCCTGAACAGCCCTCTTAAGTAATCAAAAACAGGGAGTGGATCATGGCCAAGTGCTGGCGCGTGCTCCTGTCCCCTTGCTGAGCTTCAGGAATATCTTATTTATAGACAGAGCCAAGGAAGGTTTAATTGGTCAAAATCAAGGGACTGCACGATGTTCTTTAATCATTAACTGTGGGAACATCATCTACAAAAGGATGACATTATGCACATATTTTGCATAATTGAACTGTTCTAATTTGTGCAAAATATTTTTAAAATATTTAGATCAGAAATGCTCATCTGAGCTATGTACTGATGTGCTCCTGTGGTCTCGAGTCCCTGTTAGATGCCTACTGGGCTACTGGCTTTCCATAAGAAAACATGTTTTCTGGGCGTGTGGGGATTGGTTTTGTTAAGTTTAGGGGCTCTTCCTATCTTTTTAAGAGTGATAAATAATTTCACTCCAAATCTTTCAGTTTTCATTGGATACAAAAGTGAGTGATTTTAAACGAATGCCTATCTCACATCAACGTGCCTAAGGCAGGTGCTGGTGGGTTAGACCACCTCCCCACAAACTTTCCTTTCCCATCTCTCCTCACAATAACACTTTCCAGGGTCTTAACTGGAAGCCTTGGCTTTTATTGCAGGAACTGCACGAGGGCAATGAAATCAGTTGTCACCACTGTAAGATCCTAGTCGCAATTTGGGACTTTTTAATTTTGAGATACACATGAGCAGCTGTACTTACATGTGTGTTTATGGACTAGAAGCAGAAATCTTTCAGGCCGGGTAGCACAGAGCAGACCACGTTAAATCGAAGCCTTCGTCCAACTCTGAGCCTCTTATGTTAACACAATTTCCTAAATTACTACAACAAGCATTAGCAGCTCAAACAGGGTAAGAGAAAAAGCATCCGTACCTTACACAGCATCTTAGGCTATGACTCAGTACATGTAAAGTGGGGTTAATTTGGCGTCCTTAAACTTGAGTGCTGTTTTTCATGGATTCAATGGTAAATTCTTTTTCAAAGGTAAACTCTTCTGCCCAGGAATGCTGCTGTTCTGACCAAGCCAAGGAGATAAGAAGTCACATTGTAACTCTTACTCCACAAGTACATGCAAAACCCAACCTGTATAAACCCTACGTGCTTTTTCTATGCTCACCCGCTATTTAAGCTACATTAATCAGAAACCAAGTTATTTGCACTGCACTCCTCTATTAGAGGGAAATAAACTAGAAAGACTATTCACTTTTTCTACACAGTCGGAACACCCACATAAGAATGTGGACGACTACAGAATCTCTATGTGCGTTTACCTGGTTTCAATAATCTTTCCAAGAAATGATGAAGACCCTTATTTCTGAAGCCTGACAGAATACTTCAGGGCCCACAAGGAACATGAGCTCACTAACAGAAAGCAAAACATACAGGGAAAAAGCTAACCCAGTGAGTAAACATGATTTTAGAGCATTAGCTGATAATGCAGAATCTCTGTGCCTAATGTCTTTAAAGCAATTATTTTACTCTAAGAACCCCTTAATGGCATGTTACCTACTTCCTCCACTGAAAACCTTTCCCTTTCCCCCTGATATGGAAATGACACACTAAAACAAAAATTCAGCAAAACCCCCACAGTATTCCCAGGTCTTGGAAGTCATTCTTGATCACTGAAATTCGGCACTTGGCAGCCAAGTGAAGTGAAAAGTACAGAATATGGCTGGGGGAGCTACATTGCTCCATGAAATTTACTTAGATAAATGAGAAAAGGCAAGGATGGAGCTGCAACGTGGGACATCAGCAGCTCAACCACAGCCGTCTAAGATGGACCCCTCAGCTCTCCCAGGTATGTATCTTGCTGGTTTTGACTACAAGAAAACGAAGAGTCAACAAACTTGAGCACTAGCAGGACCTACCTCTAAGCTCTTCTTTCTAGTCTTTTTCTTTCCGTAAATAAAGCTCATTGAGAGAGTTTATTCAGTAAACGTGACTGATTTGTATGTGAAAACCTCCTTCATTGTTAATTGCAGTTGTTGACACATAGTGGAATAGTGCTAAACCCTCCTTAAAGAGCTTGCAATTAAATCCAAGGAAAACACATCACAAAATATTTACCCTGAAGATCTCCACTATTACCTGAGTTTACAAATACACGATGTTAAGGCGGGGAGGGGAGAAAAGGAAGTATCATATATTCCTAAGACGCTGCTCTCAATGCTGCTACTTTCCTCTGGCCCATATTTGAACTTAGGCAGTCCAAATAAACAAGAGAATTTGGGGGGAGAGATGCAAAACCACAAAGTAACGTTTCTAGTACTGAAAACTGAATTATACTGAAAATAATAACTGCTTGGTTTATCGTAACTTATCTGTGTCAGGAACGTGCTCAGGTCTTTCTCATTACCTGCTGGCCTGGGGACCCAACAGATGATGGGGCTGCACCGATTGGTGCATTCATTTGGTGCAGAGGCATTAAGAGGAACCAAATGCACCCAAACAACGGTAATGAGGACTGGTTTTGTCCAACAAACACCAAGAACAAATGACATAACTTCCATGCATGGACGATTTGATGTAATGCTCAGTTTTACCTGTAAAATAAATTCTGAAGGTTTGGTCTATGTGAATTCATAGCCAATGCTCGCTATCATGAGCACATTTTGATTAAGGATGTTAATCCCCCCGATGTTTTCAGTACATACTCTGTACATATGTAAATGGAAGTTAGTGCAGCACAGTTCAACATGTGTGGAGACCTCATAGCAGCCTTCCAGTATCTGAAGGGGGCCTACAAGGATGCTGGGGAGGGACTCTTCATTAGGGACTCTAGTGGTAGGACAAGGGGTAATGGCTTTAAACTTAAACAGGGGAACTTTAGGTTAGATATAAGGAAGAAGTTCTTACAGTGAGGGTGGTGAGGCACTGGAATAGGTTGCCCAAGGAAGTTGTGAATGCTCCATCCCTGGCGGTGTTCAAGGCCAGGCTGGACAGAGCCTTGGGCGACATAGTTTAGTGTGTGGTGTCCCTGCTCATGGCAGGGAGGTTGGAACTAGATGATCTTAAGGTCCTTTCCAACCCTAACTATTCTATGATTTTCCCTGTGTTATCAACTGACATTTTTAGCATTTGAATCATTTTAGTCATTAACTATTAAAAGCACAAGAAGTGGTTCATCAATTTAGTTTTTAGGGTATTAAAGATGGGAGGGGGAAAGGAAGGAGAGGGATTAGACCAAGACGCAAATTAAGGCTAAAGTATGCTACAATATTCTGTAGGTAGAGTCCTTGTTTTACTGATGCAGGGGAGAAACTTTCCCAAACCCAGCTATATTGACAAAAGGACCTTCGGAGCTGCTCACACAAAAAATGCATCTTGTTCCCAAAGCAACTGCATCAGGTTGGGAAGGGAAGCTGTTTCTTTGATAGTGTTTTGAAGGTGATATCCTGTGTCCCGTGAAGGAGCACCCTGCTGATATGGTAGGTATAGGCTTGTCTTGATGTCCATTTTAAACTCAATACTGCAAAACTCAAGGGTGAGCAACCAAGCGTATAGCTCCAGAGACTTAAGAAACAACCCTCAAAGCCAAACGAAAAACAACCAACCCTGCAAAATCCTCAAGAAGCACCTATCAAAGTGCTTTCAATGCAGTGATGCGGTACAAAGTCAAAGGACGTAAACTCATCTAATCCCACACTTTCAGCTCCTCCAGGCTTCGGCCGCCGTTGCCAGGGCCTGGCTGACACCTCTTCGAGTGCCTCACCACGCATTTGAGACCTGGTGGCTGCTGGTGTTGGGTTTACACGCTGCAAAAACAACTCAGGAGGTGATGAGCGTGAACGGCACCTCGTTCCGGTCTGGGAGGTTTTATTACAATGAGTTTAGCTCCAGGCAAGCTGCTGTAATCAGCACATTTTTGACAGGTATTTCATTTTTCCTCCAGAGAATACCTAATGCTACTGAAAGCTGCCACATCAAATACTGTTGTTTTATTTAAATCCCCCCAAAACAACAACAAAAAATAAAGTTACCTGTTGTTCTCCTCCTGCTAATAAAGACTAGCTTTATCCCCCCTTCAGTATAATCCCTCCAAAGCAATTAAAATGCATTCAAGCAAGTTGAAAGGATACTAGGGAAGTGTTAACAAAAGGCTGGTTTGGATTATGCAGAACTTCTGCATCAATTGGCTGACACAAGGATTCCAGTGGCAAAATATTTGCAATAGAAGCAAACTAAATCTGGCTGTTAAAAGTATTTCTTACTCTGTTTTGCTCACTCGTTTCTAGCGAGATATTAGGTCAGATCCCCTAGTCATTGACCTCGTTCTAAGGTTTGTAAGTCAGTCTGTGAATAAAATATGCAATCTCTGAGTCATTCACAGAAAAACTACAGCACTGCCATAAACTGGTGCTTGAAGACAATAAATAGGGAAATGTCTTAAAATAGATGCAGCCCGTGTATGGGTACACTCGGATCCAGCACCATCAACTGATTAACCCATCCAGGATGTGCTCAAGCCTTCCCAGGAATGAAGTGGCATTGCTGAAGACAGGGAAATACCCATGCTGGGCAACAACAGGAGCTGGAGACCCGCCAAGGCATTTGTTCACATCTCACAACCTGCTCAAATGTTGGGATGGAGGGGGAAGAAGTTTTCTCCCCTGTCCAGAAGCAGCTCCAGCAGATGCTGTTACCTGAGCTCGGTCTGGTCAATGGGCAGCCACATGTACTGCTTCCTTTGCAAAATGTAAGAATTAGGATGAACTTCATCTGATGAACAAGCCAGAGATCATGTTTTCTACTGCTTCTGTGTTTGTAGGAGCTGCCTCTGATGTCTCACCCTGGGGCTTGATCAGACAAGGAAGGAAAAGTAGAGAATTTTTAAGACACTGGCAAGCATCTGGTCTTTCAAAATGTCATCGCTAATCTTCACATCACCCAGCCTGCTCTGTAATCAAGAGAGAAGAACTGTGCAAGTGCAAATTAGTGTCACTTATGTCCTGAAAACAACTACGGATGAGGATATGGAATAAGTATGCCCGAAAGCAACATCAAATTTATTCTCCATGATCAGATGAGGGATAACTGAAGTTTGTTTCACCTCACATGAAAAAACCCCAAACAAACATGAAGCTATCTCCATGACATTTACCATTTGGCTGAAGCAGGTTAGTGCTGTATGAAAAGGACCACAGCCTCAGTGGCAGTGAGAACAGGAAGGCAAGGAGTGGGTCTTGGCTTCTCCAACAATCTCCACACACAGACAAGATAAAAAACCCAACTCTTACAAGACTTAATTTTATTTTTTTCCTTTGGTCTGTTAATAGAAAAATTAAGAGGAGCACCAAGGTTAGCTTAGGGCATTAAGCATCCCAGTGACCTAATATGAGCAATGGTCTAAATTCATGGTGTGTCACCCGTTCAGGTGCAGGACAGCTATCTGAAGAGCAGCCCCATCATCAATCCCAAGACACCACACGCCGACCTGAAGCATCTCTGTCTTTTGGAAGAGGACAACAGCATTGTGAGCTCACAGATGAGTGACTTCAGCACGTGAGATGGTGCCAGCATTCCCCTGAACCCCTGAAGTGTAACAGGGAGCAGGGTGACTGATACACAGGCACAGGGAAGTTGTCCAAGACCTTTCAACTCTTATTCTCCTGGGAGCTAACCCAGATTTGGCTATTTCTTTAATGGTTAAAGAATTGCTCGGTACTTAATACCTGTGATACATGAGTATATGCTGATGCAGGTTCCTTGAATGCTGCAAAGTGCTGGGGGGAGTTTGTTGTTATATTGACAGTTTTGCAAGAGGAATCATTGTACCTGCCTACAAAAAAAACCCCATGTGTGAAAGGCAATGATGATAATTGCAGGTGGTTTGTATTAGAATAAAACTAGCAGGAAATTAAGAAAGGAAAAAGAACACTCCTGCCCACCAGTAGGGACCAACTTCCATATTCCAACCTGATTTTAAAAACCTGGAAATAATCTTTGTCCAGAAAAATCTTCTTAAAAATATGCTTTAAGGCCTTTTTGTAGTATTTTCTCTTCACTGATGATTTTTAAAAGCTCTTGTAATCAGCCTGAAAGACACCAGTAATTCCTAGCTCGACTGTAGCAGTGATAGAATCAGCACAACATACAAGAGGAGTACAAGATGCACTAAGCAGACATGAAAACAGCTGTAAAATACTGAAATCCAAACTGCCATATCAAATCATCTGTTTAACCCTGCAAAATCTGTGATATTTACTTTTCTGTTCAAGAATGCTCTTCAGATGACATCATGAACTCTTAAAAGCATGTATTATGCACTGCCATAGTGCAAATGAGAATGAGGGCTCTAAATCCATCTATTTTCCATTTTCTTCGAAACCATAATGTACAGGAATAATTTCTTTTCCCCTTTAAATTAAATTTCGTCAGTCATTGTCCTTTAAAATAAAGATACAAACATATGGTCAGATATTTTTCTATGTACAGCATCATCATTCTTATGGCAAAATTAGTAACTCTTCCAAGCCGTTTTTGCTAACTAGCCAAAATCCGAAAGTAAAGACTGAGCAAATTACAACACTAATACTAATTTATAAAGCTACTTGCAAACGTGTTCAGCTTCCCCTTTTCATTCTTTGCAGCATTATAGAACCGTTTATAAAGCAAAATTGCAGATGTTCAACCCTTTGTTTACCAAGATAACTGTGGCTGAAAACAAAACAGAAGTGGCAGCACTAGGGCTACCTCATCTTGCCAGGAGTAACGCTGTGCTGGAGTAGCTGCTGCTGGAGGAAACTAAATAGTAGGATAACTCTGAAGGATGACACTGCTGGGGTGTTCTGCAATCCAGACCCTCAAGAAGGCAGGAGGGAAAGCCTTGGAGAGCCGCTGCCACCTCCCGTCTATGAGCCACTTGTCTACCTTTCCCACTACTTTGTTTTCTGGGCTACGCAATATGTTCTCTTATACCTGCCATCCATATGGAGGCCTGGAAACGTTCCACCAAGTCAAACATACTGGCTACTCTCTTGGTGTAATCAAGCTAGGCACCTTTATATTTTTATCAGCACTAATTCTGCTGTCTTTTGAGGCGGTGATAAAACCCAGCGAGCACGCTGTAGGCAGAGGTTCACCACATCCGAGCACTGCCAAACACACTGAGGGTTCACAAGACAAATAAAAGCTCTCGACTTTTACTCACAGGTTGTCCTGTAAAATTCTCTCATTACAGGTACCCCTATCCCACAGCAACTTCATTTTTATAAGTTTTCCTAAAACAGGTGCTTTTCAAGGCAAGCACCACGATGCTTGGCCTTTGAGGTTGCCTTTCAAATGGCAAAAGCTAAAAGGCCCTGATTAATCAAAGATTACTTTTTTCCCCCTATCAGAAGATCAACTGTTTCACACATCTACCCTTGGAAAGAACAGAACAAACCCAGGCAGTATTTTCTACTCCCCACTCCTACTCAAAGAAACGCGTGTGACATTTATAACCATGGTATAAAAGCTCATTAATACTATACCCTGGCCTATATAAAAAGGGTTATAGGCTTAACACAATAGGAGACACTCTCGTGAAAAACAGGCAAGGGAAGGAGAGAGCAGCTCAAGATAAGCCATCTCTCCACAAACACTGACTCAAAGGATGAGATTATTAAATGACAGTATTAAAAGTGGCCAACATTTTTCACCTCTTCTCTGCTTATTTGAAAACTAGTTTCAAAAGGCACAATAAAAGCCCAGCGAACATGCCAGTACATTTTAAAAGGCAATTCTCTCTCAAAGGGCCGATAGCAGGCAGGGACTGGGAGAAAGGTTTATTTTAGTTGAGCTGATCTGACAGACTGGCACCTATTCAGAGGTGTTGGAAGAAGTCTGGCGCGTCCACACAACCACCAAGAGCAGCAGTAAATCCTTAAGGAAGACAGGGCTGCCTGTGTGCTACCTTCGCCTTTTGAATACTTCTCCTCTGGAGGATTTCTTTTTTCCTTTTTTTCTTCCCAAAGAAATTATTTGAAGCAAGCTCCCCAGTCAATGTGCTCTGAAGGGGGTTACTTCCAACGCTTGACCTTAGGGTTTGCCGAGACTAGATGACATTCAAGGCACTGTGCGCCCATGGGGAAGCACCAAACAGGGTGAGAAATAACCTGCCTGCCAGCCTAAGTGGGTTCCAAATTTACACCCAATGCCTCCTCCTAAAACCATCCTTTAGCTTAGATAACTGTGCTTTTCTACTTATTTTTTTCCCCTTCCATATACATACAGAGAGCAATCCTATCTCCTCTCAGGTTTTATTTTTCTAGGCTGAAGCTAAGCTCTTCCAAGCTACTCATAAAAAGACCGGTCAATCCTTCCACCATCACCCTAATTACCCTTCCTCGACCTGTGGCAGTTTAAACTCATCTTCCTAAATACAAGTAGGACACCTTCATTCTTTGCTGCTCCCAAATGATGAGGCTGAGCATATAGAATAAATTAATATCCTCCATCCTTAAGCACATGACATCCTCCCAAACCCAATTAACTGCAGAGGAAAGCGGTTCCTCTCACATAATGATCCAGTCCTCCTCCGCCTTGCCAACGTCCCTCAGCTTTGGAGTTGGCAAATTTATTTATCATGCTTCCAATTCTTCTGTAAAGGCTGCTAATGAAAATATTAAATAAGGCATGATTAGATCCTTGAGGAACCCCAGCAGTAACTTGGTATATTCAGCAGAACAAAGAAAAGAAACTCGTGGCGACGCAAGGTTATCAGGAACAACAGTGGTGATAGACTTCAATCTTTACAGGTATTTTAACCACCTTAAAAACCCTTCTTGCAGGATACAGGACTACCATGATGCAATCAAATTATGTCCACTTATCTCAAGTATTTTGAGCGTCTGTGCCAGCCACCCACCCTGAAGAAAAACAGAAACTGAAGCAAGACTGACACACACAGATGCAGAAAGACCAGCAACTCCTTTTTATTCAAACTAAACCAAAAAGAAGGACATCATCATCTTCTGGTTCTCCCAAGAGGTCTCTATCATCCACACGAAGATGCTTTTTTAGCACCACAAAACAGCTTGCAATGCACAGATCCCCTATGATACTGCAATTAACTCATTTCCTAGACTGAAATCTCTTATACAGTGAACAGCATTTTAATTAATTCTTTAAATATATATCCCTCCAATAGGTTAAACCTTAATTAAAATTAAAAGTGCCTGATAGCATCTTCTTATCTGGTTAGAGATGCAGTTCTTAAAATTGGTGGTGATGATAGAGCAACCACATTAAAAAGGATACATATTTAATTTCACATTTGTTTCAGTTCAGCAAAATGCCATGAAAATTGATTCAAGCTGCACTTACAGAATCTCTCTCCTCTTTCTGTAAGAACTACTTTTGCTTCGTTTCAAACACAAGTTTTGCAAAACTGTTTTGGATTTAGTCCTGGGTACATTCCTGACCACCAGAGATTTGCTGATGCTTGATCTTGTATTTCATTCGTTATTGCTTAATTAGAACCCCATTTGAAAGAAGTTGAATAGAAATGGTCCATTTAATTATCATGAGACATGAAAGAGGCAAAACGTTCCAAGCGGCTCCTCAGCAAGTTTTTATCGTGTTTATCACACACATCACATATGACTCTACCTTCTATCTATATTTCAGTTCTTCATCTCCTCATGCAACTCTTCAGTCAGCACATCTGACACTACTCCTACATTCACCTTCACAACTTTCCTGGCATTGGGGAGCACCATGATCCCGCTTGTTGGGAGACAGGTTCATGCAGCCCATGAACACCACCACCAGCCACTCCCCAGGCCCCACCTCATGCTTTATCTTACTTTAAACCCAAAAGACCAGCACAGCAACCACAGGAAGAGCTCCAGCAGTATCTTGTTGCTTAGAGTACACACAAGAGTCCTTTTTAAACCTGGCAGAGTTTCTTACAGCTCTAAAGCAAGCAGAGCTTCTCCAGTACTCGCAGTACCTTTAAATATCGATTAAAAAGAAGAAAGTTTATCTTGATTAACTCTTCTTAACTGCAGCCTCTTCTCTTTATAGCCACCTAATTAACAAACCCAAGAAGTTTACAACGCAAGCACAGAATAACCAGGTTTACCCATTACACGCACAACTGCATCATTTCAGTACTTCCCCATCATCCTTGTTCAGGAGCCATTTATGCACAAATGCCAAATTATATTCTGTTTTCAGGCTTGGGCATCTGAGTATAATTTTGGCTTCCCGATAAATAACAAAATGTGCTCAAACCCAGCAATTTCCTTGAGAAGCATTCACAAATTTCAGTCATGTCTGAAACCACTGTCTGAAAGCCTTATTCATGAATTGTAAATTAAAGTGTTACTGCTCTATATTATGCAAATAGCCAAATTCTAGCATTGCAACAGAAGCAATGAGCTTGTTATCCTGTCAGTCCTACAAGCAGACACCTTAGCCCATCGTTTCCAAAAGTGCTTGTGTGTTGCCTTAACTGTGCTAGTTTTCATACAGATGAAGGGTTCAGCACTGATTTAAACGAGATTCACTCAAGAACA